CTAACCACTTAACGGTTTTCCTAACCACCTAACCACAAAACGGTTTTCAAAACTTCCTAATCTACATGAAAAATGTGCAAGAATACATAAATAATTTCTAGAGACAATTAGATTAACACAACAAATTTTATCATAAAAAACTTTTTTTTTTTTGGCGGAATGGGAGGGTCGGGGATTGGAGGGAGCATTGTACAGCGGAAATGGCAGAGAGGATTGACTCCATTACTTGGGACAAGATGCATCAGAGCGGGTTGACGCATTAGAATTCATGGCACCAAGCGCCACCTGAATTAAGTTATGAGAAGGTTATATGATTAATAAAAAGTTATTTTAAAACAATTTAAAAGTTAAATTGTTATCCGTTAAATTGATAATAGTATTTGAATAAATCGCTTCTCCAGTGCGTATCTAACAAGGCATATATTTTTTTATGATATATCTGGCTAAGCTGTTAGTTTTAATTTTTTTTCATGTAAAAGATTAGAATACTCGTATACTTTAATAATTATAAATCTCAATTCTTCTACTAATTCAACTAAATTTTTTTATAAAAATGCAAAATTGTTGTTCAATTAGTTTCTTATATTAAAATAATCTACAACTTCTGTTATCATTCAACTAATTTCATTTTGAACAACTCCTTTTATGAAATAAAACTTCTCACATTTAATGATTTTTTTTGAATGTTGCATTAATTATAAGTATTGTTGTGTGTCAGAAGATTCATGATGGTAGAGTGATAATTTAATGTCAGTGTTGCTTGAAGATCTGTCACACATATTGATAAAAAAATAGCAAGAGGAGACTAAAATTTTGTTACGTGGAAAAACATTAGAATGGGCTAAAATCGCAAGGTCTGGCCTAGTCCTTATAATCCATAATATAATTATAATAATTAGGGGTGTAAATGAACCGAACACGAACGAACAGTGCTCATGTTCGTGTTCGGTTCGTTTGAAATATAATTTGTTTGAAATAGGCTCGTGTTCGAAATTGTTCGTGAAGAGTCTGTTCGTGTTCGGTTCGTTTTTGTTCGAATTGTTCGAATTGTTCGAATTGTTCGAATTGTTCGAATTGTTCGAATTGTTCGAATTGTTCGAATTGTTCGAATTGTTCGAATTGTTCGAATTGTTCGAATTGTTCGAATTGTTCGAATTGTTCGAATTGTTCGAATTGTTCGAATTGTTCGAATTGTTCGAATCGTTCAAATCGTTCGAATTCGTAATGTTCGAAATGTTCGAAATTCTCTCTCTCTCTCTCTCTCTCTCTAAATTTTCACTCATACCACTTAATTCTTATGTATTTACAATTTAACATGTCTAACACAAAAATTTTATATTTTAAATAGATTGTTTTCTCATATAGATCATGTATGTAACAATTTTACATGTCTAACACTCAGCAACATAACAATTGCAACAAAATGTATATTATACAAAGAACTGAAAAGCAACAAGAAAATAAATACAATTTTACATGTCTAACACTCTAAAAATCTCAACGTTCATTTAATTTTAATCCTTCGGTCTGCTCATTTCAGAAGAATGA